GAGAGGGAATGAGAGAGACAGAAAGGGTGCGGGAAGGAAAAATGTATGTATAATGTATATATATATATAGATAAAAGCCTCGAGAAAAGTGTACGGTAATCGTCGGGGAGCGGGGTAGAAGGGATTGAAGAGAGAATACAACATTAAGTACTCGCCGCAATGCACCACTGACCCAGTTCAGCCGTGGGGTTTCGTGCCACGCGACTCTTGGCCCTTCTTAAACCATTTTCTCTCTCTATCTCTTATGAGGGTATTTTTATTATTACTCCAAGAATTGTGATGCCTAAACACGTCATTTTTCCAGAACATTGGTCAGACTTCGACAGAAGTTTAATACTCTTAACTTTTTTCAGTATTGACTATTGAAATGTGACGTGTGTCAAAAGAGAGCCAATCCTAATGAATATAATTTATTTTTAATCTTGGTATTCAAATTGAAACCGAAAACTGCGAAACTGTTTAACTGATATTAATCCGTGAAGGTCTATATTGACAAACTAGATGGCGGGGCTGAATGAGAAGGAAAACTACCTCCAACGCGAACGTTATTAAATAGCAGCTGACGCAACGATAAAATATTAAAGGAATGGTCATTTCCGGTACAAGGCCCACACGACCATATTTTTACGCTGGATGCATACACCAAAGCCTCTGAATTGCCTACTCATTACGCCCTCAATAATATTAAATTGCACAACAAAATATTTCAATTTTTTCCGCTATTCTAGTTTTGGGCGTGGTTTTTGACATATATATTCTTTAAAAGAAGAAAAACTAGACTAAATTATTTGTATAACCCAACAATTAGTCGAATAAGAAGTTTTATTATTGGATGATGGGTAAAAATATTATGATAAAACCGAATAATAATCATAACCATTAATAAAGACATTATAATTAGGTATAAAAGATATAAAAATAAAATACTTTTATGTTAGTTTTATGACGAGATTGATTTAAAATCAGTAACAAATCTATTATTGAATATGAATTATAGAAGTCAGGAGTACCTATGAGTATTATAATTTATTTTTTGAATATCATATGTTTAAGCGGTATATTAAATTAGATTTCAACTGTATCTACGTATCTAACACGTGTAATTAATGCATGTTACATAATTTGAAAAACAAATTCCACTAGAAGATAATATGATCAGTACACAAACCACAACCTTGACCATTCATATTTAATATCATTTGCACATGATTGAATGACCAATCAAAAGACCTTCACACAATCTAGTACTTAATTCGAGTAAACGTCAGTATAAACGAAGTAATATAAAAACAATTTAAAAATGATTATTAATTATCGTTATATTATTATATAAAAATACCTAATAGAATTAATATTTTATGCTTGAAATCAATATTTTAAACACTAAGTATAAACGTATTATTTGCATTGAATATTTAATATATATTTAGTCTTTGAAGTACTACACATTTAAATATAAATTTACATTGTATGCGATGTGAACGATAATTGTAACGAAATTTAAGGATAAATAACTAATAAGACATATTTAATGTGGTTTTAACACATTTTGTTTTACATTATAATATGCAATGACTTAAACGTTTATAATTTAAAATAACTCAAATTTCTTTAGTACAAATGTTGTCTAATTCATGTTTAAATGCACAAGATAATAATCAAAGGAATGCATGAATAATATTTTAAGAAAATTCAATGAAAAAAAGTACAGTACTGCAAAAGGTACCTTACAGAGACAAATTTAAATTTAGACCGTCTCTGCTTTTTTAATTTAGGGCTATCTTCTTTGTCGGTTTACGGTACTAAACAATTTGTTTAGAGTAATAAATTCAAAGCAATTTATCGCCTCAACGGCTCAACCCTGATATACAGTTTTAAATTACACGAGCCCCACCATAGTCATGCACTCACTATACTCATGTATATATACAAGTTTATAAACAATTAATTTGAACACTGGAATTTATGTAACTTTTATAATACATGAATATAAAATCTAAAAGTTCATTTTTAAAAATATATGAATTATTTAATTTGTATCTAACTGAGCCTTAACCCATTAAATTTAATAATAAATCAAAAAAAAAAAAAATAAGATACTAAAAGTCGTATATTAAAAAGTGGTTGGAAGTATCGTAAAATACTAATACCTTCTCTGCTTACAAATACCTAGCATTTAAATATGTATAGTTATTTTTTTAATTGTTTTTAGCTAAAGTCTTCTGTTATTGATTATGACTATGAGCTCAAACCAACTTCATTAGTCATTAAGTATGGATTGTGATGGTAAAATGAAATCTACGGCACACATATTACCTCCGTTTAAAATGGCAATTAGTCAACCAAAATGTAGAGTGACTTGAGCAAATTAGTAATTTACTTTACGTAAGGCGTTTAATATCTACCCACTATGTTTTTTACTGAATGGTTTATTTTAAATCATTTTAATTAAATATGAGTAATAGAGTAATTGTGGATTGCTCGCACATGAATATTTATTAAAGAGGGCAAAGTAATAACTAATAAGTTATAACTTACGAACAAAATATACTGTAGGAAATAAAATAAATGTATTTAATAATGTGCAAAATTTTAATTTTAATATGTGAACAATTGGATTTGATTTGTTTTCTGCTAAATCGTAGTTTTTCTTAGTACCTATATAATATAAATATATATAGTCAAGAAGAAGGTTAATTATAAGGATATTTTTCCAACTGTTATTTTTCACTGGTAAAAAGTTTGATGTCGTAAAAAAAAATAGTTTAAATAAAATAATACCAATGTATTTATTATTAAAAAAAATAATATATATATACATATATTTTTAATTATTTTATTAATGAATACAAAAATTATACTTTGGTATTTGATAATAATTATTTTATTGCACCGACATAAGTGATTGCATCATATTTTTTAATTTAAACGGGTTTTTTAAGGATCATCTGTTAATTGTTTTCAAAAATGATATCTCAGTTAAAAATTAAAATCTTCTAAGATAATCTTAATATTTCACAAGTAAAAAAAATTTAAGTGAATTATGATATTTAATTAGTTCATATCTTTAAATCTTTTCACAAGCTTATTGTTTTTTATAAAATGCAAAATAATGATACATCATACATACATTGGTGAGTACTGGATATCTACATACCAATATGGCTTTATTTTTTAGTGTAATTTACAGGTAATTAAGTTTGATTTAAATGTTGAAAACATAATTTGTATTAAAATATAATGCAACTTAAAATAAAAACTCTGCCCCACGATTCTATCTGAACACCGAACAACTACAAGTTGTAATTTTTAAGTACCCATAACCAGTACACCACTCACTAGGAAATCAATCTGCAACGATTTGTACCTACGTGATATGTAGTGAATATGAGTATACGGCATTGACATATTATGCCTTATATTATTACCTTATCGAATTAACCAAATACTCTTGGTATACTCGGAATGACAATATAATATTATTATCATGATTTCATATTACCATTCACCACAGCGGGTAACTCAGCTCGAGTAGGCACCTATTTTGGTTTTTAAATTTTAAATGGAAATACTAGGTTTTCGTGCAATATACATTGCCAGGACTATTAGTACAATTTATTTAACGATAATGCCCAGATATATTATTATAATATAATAGGTACTATGTTGAATTATACGATTTCGGTTGTAAATGTACAAAAACACAAATTAGCGGATTATATTTATGATGTAGGTACATTGTACATACATATTTAGTGAAGTACTAACGATACCTTATTAAAGTTTACTATACCGTAATATCGAAAGTAAATTTATTACTATTAATTATTTTTTACACTCAATAAAATGTTTTTATATTTATTATTTTATACTATGCATACACAATAAAAAAAAACATTAAAATGAATGAAAAAATAACAAAAATACGTAATATTGAATGACATTAAATAATATTTATTAAAGTATAAGTTAGCCTAGCTATAATTGGCGATATATGTTTAAATCGTTACCTACATTTATTTTATGTCAAAATATAAATTGCTATGTATTTATATCTACATCCATATCATTATCTGACACCGGTGTACCGGTGTAGGAACGACAATAGTAGTTCATCGATATCGGAAAATTTTATCGATATCGTTCTGCATCGCTATTAATGCATTATGCAATTATGCCTATCAATAATAGCTATAAGTAGATTAGGTAGTTTAATATTCTGTATTATTCTGTATTGTAATATTCTGAAATTGTTATATAAATTTATATCACCGCGTGCGCAGAGTTAATAATACTTGAGAATTAAACGATTTGCGCACCGGTGGTGATAATGACGCTTATAAGTAATAACTATTAATATATTATTATTATTATTATATAATGTAGAGATAGAAAAACCGAGAGACAGCAATAATAACATAATAATAATATTGCAACGGTACACGCCTTTTTTTTTATCTGATTAATATCCGCAAGCCGCAAGAGATAACCGCGTTACAACAAAGACAAATATTATAATTTATAATATTATCACCACCATATTTTTCAAAACCGACGATAGCGTCAAATTGTATTTGGTTGTTCTCACAATAATTCCACGACGGTGTCATTATTATTATTAATTACAATATTATATTATTTTAATAAGGCTACTTATTTAACTAACTCCGATATTATCATCACAAATTGCGTAAGCAGGTGGTGCATGGTTTTGATCGCCGGTATACAATAATAAACTATATAATATTAAAATACATTATTACCATGCATTATTACAATTATTGGTAATCTCTAAAGCGTTATTATTAAACAAGTTTGTAAAACGTGACAATAATATTATACGTTTATCCGGTGGAATGGCTCCGTCCGTAGAATTGTTCTGCGATGGAACTGAGATACCACCAGCTGTGTTCACTCTGATTTCATCGAATAATTATCGAAACACATATGACAAGTTAACACAGGGAGGTTCCCAGTCCCACACGACAGAATGGTTGCGGCTCTCTGCTTGGAGGCTTCAGCGACGGTGTCCGCAAAATAATTCGATTCCGTATACCGGTGGCGCGATCTGTCGGCGACGTGTGTAGGTAACACGCGGCGTCTTTTACCCATAGATCGCGCTGCGTGTACCGTACAAAAAACGCCGACTATCGCCTTATGAATAATTAGATAAATATATATATATAAAAAAAAAACAAATATACATTCGAAAAACTAAATTACACTCTACTACGGACCTATATACTCTGCAACATTGAGGAGGTGGCGGTGGTGATGGATGGTGGGATGCGGGTGGGCGACGTCTTAGACAACGCAATAGACAAATTACAATATCGTTTCTATAATATATAGTCGTTTTTATTGCGCACGACGTTACGAACGGGTACGTGAAGTGTTTTGTTTTTGTCGAAATAGCAATGTTATAAGCGATAGTTATAAAGACTCATGTGAGAAAAATCTCGAATAGACCCCACCGTCCATACCACAACGTCCACAACCACCTCCATTGGCGATGTTCGAAATCGAGATTTATCACCGTCCCCTCACACTCGACACGAGTTCGTGTTTGGCCTATTATGATATTATTATCATCATCATATTATTATTGTAATAATATTGTATTATTCAACGAGTGTTGAGCACAATATGGTGTAGGTACTCACAGTTTGTTCTTGTGCGACTCCTTCACCTTATCGTCGCCTTCGATTCGATAAATCTTGCCGTACATGACATACTCGAAACTGTCGGCCCGGCAGCCATTCTGATCCATTTCTATGGGGTTCCAATCGCCAGCGTCAGGCTGTCCATCTTCGCGCAACGTGGTGGCCAACACCAGTCGGAATTTGTCACCTGTAACGAAAATTACAGTCTTTAAACGAGTCCATTTCGTCTCGTCACCGCGTTATCGGGGTTTCATTATTTTCGTTTTATGTTTTTCCACTTCCGAGTTTCCCGAAGTCATAATATTATCAGACCTATGCTATATTTGCCGGCACTCGGGCACTAAGAATAACCGGTCGAATTGAAGAAAAAACCAGATACGTTAAAAACGAAACCGGTTAGACTAATAATTCTATTCTTACTTCATCGTAACTATAACCATTCACATAATCACATGCCCGATGACCACCAGACCACATATGTAAATATTATCTGCAGAGAATGAGCGCTTGTAAACCTAATACCTGGTACTTCGCATGACTACGAATGCAAGATTACGAAATTGTAATTTTTGGGAGTGCTTTCGAGCGGATATTTTTCTCTCTGAAGCAACTAAATTATAATACCTATGATGGTTATAATCGATTCGTTGCGTTTAGCCTTGCAAAATATCAATAGTACTTATTTATGTACAGTTATCTAACCCACTACCCTAGTACGTGTTTCCAATACAATTTAATGAACTGTTGGAATTTGAGCATTCCATACCCTCCATCTTATCAATATTATTATTTACTATAGTTTCTTTTTGAATAGTTAACAGAAAGAGGAAAATGGTAAATTGAGACTGCAATTTATCCAACGTATGTCTATTGTCTCAAAAATAAAAAAAGTATTGAAAGAATTTTAACGAAAATATATAGAAAATCTCAAAATTATTCCTACATGTTTATAATTGTAAACGTATATACGAAGAATAGACAAATATATAGGAGAGTTCGTGTTATAGAAGAACCTGTTTTATAAACCATATTATAAACACACATTTTATATATTACTCATTTTGACACTTGGAATCCTGAAGTTCATGTGTATATATATATAAACTATATATATAGTACGTCTATAACTACTATAAAAATCAAATTCTTGAAAACCAGTTTTTAAACATAGCTAATATATTATTTTATATTATAAATTAACTTGTAAACTTCAATTACATAAACCTTTTTTCCTTCAAAATTATTCAATAATAATATGCATTATTGCTCATTATAGATAGGATTAAAAAGTCATAGATTACAATAGTACTACAATAATATTTTAATATTAACAATAATTTAGACTAAGAATAATTAAATTAAAAGTGATTAACATAATATAACATGTATGTCTAATACAAATTAAATTTTAAATATTTTCAATTTATCACTGATATAATCAACATTCTAATACATATGTGGTTCAATACTTCAATTACGAAGGTTTGAATAAATGGGTATTCAATTAATTAGGTTTGAACTTTGCCTCTAAATAGAAGCACGATAGGTTTGTAATAATATATTGCATATTTACAATGCACCTAGACACCCAGTACTATTATTTACTAACAATGATTAAAAATTAAAAAACTTATCAGAGAAATCAATAGTATATGTAAGCAAACCCTATTCATTATCATCACATGTTTTTAAACTTTCCTTAAATGACTGACTCTTCTCTGACCTCTTTTTACTCATCAATCTAATGAAAGTATACTTGATCTTTCCCACATTTTCTCCATCTTTCACTCCACGTGTACAGTATTCGCTGAATACTATTCAACTGTATTCACACTTTTAAATTGGCGTTATGTTCTATTACTTTTTCATCAATCTCACTACGAAATTGGAATCAATTATAACATAATATTATGCATAATATGTAATATGGATGTATAATATATAAATTTGTTTACATTGGTTACTGATTTCGTTGTATTTCATTATTGTTAGTTATTTATAAATTCTTCGTTTACCTTAATTTACTGGTAATAGAAATAAAAATACATTATATGTATATAAAAAAAGGACAAGATATTGAAATCAGTTGGCGGACGATGAACACTTATTTAGTTTTGGGATGGTATAGAAAAGTTAACGAATTTGAAACTGGTTTCTATACAAATATCGACTAACACTATTTACGTATTGGTAGTTTAAAAAAAAATTAATGAACAAACCAAAATATAATGACCAATTCTTCGAAGTACTATCTTGACCCGAATTCCAATCAACATATTAATACATTTATTCTTATTGATATATTGATAAGTTTAAGATAGCAGGCCAATATCTACTAAGTTTTTAGAAGTCTTTGTTCGAAAGTGTTCAGAGAAGAAAAACATCATTGTAAATTAGTACATTTTTTGATTCAGAATATAACACATACTTAATAGTTACTAAATGCTTATAGGTACATAGTTACGTATATGTATTCGTACTAAAGCCTACGGGTACAGTGGGTATAATAAACTTTAAAACCACTTAATAAGTAAACGTCATATATATTTATAATTCAGAGAATCGAAAACTTTAAAGTACTTTAAAATTAATAGCACCTACTGGTGAGTATAATAAATTATTCAGTACTCGATTTTGTTTATATAGTAAAGGGTCAATAAATGGAGGTCAGCCTAGAATATTGTATGTTTTTCTAGTTTAAATATGCATCGAATTTAAGACTATCACAAACATAATAACAACATTTATCGAAACAGAGAGTGTAAAAAAAATACTTTATTAGTTATTAGTTATTAATTAATAGTTTAGTTTTAATGTTATTTTATTTTAAATATAATACCATTGGTAGTATCCAATAAATAAATAAATAAATAAATAAATAAATAAACACAAAACAGTGAAGTTATAGCAGTTGGAAGTCTATACACATAAACTATATATATTACAGTAATCTATCATGGGTTTTTAATTTTCATGTCGAAAATTATTTTATATCAAATGTAACTTTTTATCAACAAATACAACTACTAGAGTCATTGCCAACAAGTATATACCTATTTATTTTATAAGACATAACCCTAGAGGCCTAGACCAACAATAAATCATATTACTATGAAAGTTGTCTACCTATATCATAATTTGTTTTTTTATTCAAATGGTTTTTAATTGACGATATCGTTTCATTTTAATTGTGTTGATAAGTTATTCCTTTTAAATTGTAAATCATATAATATTATATTATGTACCTACTAATTTCGTTAAAAAATGGATTCAATACCTATGCGGTTATGCATTAGATTTGGTATATTCTATAAGAACATAATAGACAATTAAAAAATTGATTTTAATTTTTGTTTTATAACCACAGCTATAATATTACGAAAACGCATATTACTATACTCAATTATAGTAGGTATCTACAACACAATAACCTATACAATACATATTATTATATTATTGCAAATATTTTTTTTTTATGGGTTAAAAGTTTTCAGCTTAAAATTATGTAATATTTCTTCGTAAAATAGATTTTCGGCATACACGCAGTAGGTCACAGCAGTGACTGGTAGTTTCTTTGAACCGATAACTTATGAAATTGCGTTTTCGTCGTTTTTAATTTAATTATATTACATAGGCACTGTTTTTATTTGAATGCCTAGCAATTGTAAGGAACAATTTTTACCGTCGGATCAATTATGCCACCATACACGGTTACCACGATTGCGAAAATCGAACGTGGTTTACGGCCATCTCCGGAGTGTGCTGTATGCATATCATTAATTTCTAAATAAAACATTTGATTGGTATTCGTATTTTGAGAATCGCATGTCTTAACATAATACAACAATATGCAGTGAATATTAATTTTAGTAAGGTGACACCCGATAACATATGGTAGGATGGTAGGTAATAGGAACCTATAATACGAGTACATCACAAGTTCAAAAAGATTTAGAATTAAAAATAATTATATGACCGAGATACTAAGATTGCCAATTACCTATTATACCCGAAAATATTAAATATTATCGAAATATTCCCCATCGAACAGTATAGTGATTGCCGCTTTGCAAGTGCACACTTATAATTATATTACAATTTCCGTTCTCTGTTGAGAGTACCCAACGCATAAACACAGGCGTTTTAGGTTCGCCCTAGTTTTTTTTCCGCAGAACTTGATCCATGGGGCATGGACCCCTCCCTCACCATTCAACCCTCGTCGGATGCAGTGTGAAGGGGGGCACGTTACCACGCGCATTCGTGTTCGCGCATCACGTCCTACCGATTTTCTTTTTTATTGTTCATCATACAATATTTATTGCACACACATACAGCCAAAGAGAAAATTTTATACATTACTTGCACCGAATTACACTGTATCTACATAATTTTTGTTGTGAGTGCGAGTGTATCTGTAAAGTTGGCGGCGGCAGCAATGTCGGAGGTTTGAGCGTGCGCGCGGCGAGCAAGCGAGCGATTGGCGGTAGCGGCGCGAGATGAACATAATACTATATATACGCGGATCGGCGAGAGAGAGAGAGAGAGAGAGAGAGAGAGAGAGAGAGAGAGAGAGAGAGAGAGAGAGAGAGAGAGAGAGAGAGAGA